GATATAAAACTTACCCTTAATAAATGGTAATGGTTTTGTTTGAGACGTATCTCGTATTAGTTTAGCAATTAGGAAGCTTGGTATGCCTTTGGGTGAAGTTAATACTAGGGTTTCACACTATGGAAGTTGTTTATGTGAGAGAGCCTTGGATGACACCAGACCTTTGGGCTGAATTACGTAAATCTCGTTTGTTCTTCTTGCCTGGTATTGTTATATCTTGTTAGCTTGTTTGATCTGCGGGTTGTGAAGATCGGAGTAGGGATCGTCTATCCCTAACAAATGGTACCAAAGCCTTGTTTCGAGTGTGTTTTGCAATGGATAAATGAAAAGTTTTGGCACAATGATGAAATTGAATGGTTCTAGTTGGCAAGTATGAAAGAACTTGAATGGTTCTAGTTGGCAAGTATGAAAGAAATTGAATGGTTCTAGTTGGCAAGTATGAAAGTCCAATATAGAAGATATTTTCTATTGCAAGGATCTACATGATCTTATCGAAGGAGATGAAGCTAACCCAAAGGAGATGTTCGACAAAGGATGAGAAAAATAACACAGGAAGACAATCTAGAGAGAGCACTCTATTGCTAAATTAGAGTACAACTTCCTCAAGTTTATGTCCAATCTTGAGGATCAAAACATGAGACAATCGAAAAAATGTTGAGTTACCTTTAGGGCTTGCAAACACTAAAACTTATCTCACTAACAATTTCCAATACCTGCAAAGAATTTGACATACTCTTGTCAAGTTCGTTGTTCTGTAGAAGACGATATTTGCATTGCTGAAATCCAATTGTCGAGCGAGCCTAACATCAACTCTTATCTGTCTCTCTCTGTCTCGAGTAACCTGTAAGAATTTTTGTGCCCTATACTTCTTGTGTCTCGTTGTTATAGGGTATAATGGTTAAATTAATTAAAACCCCATCACTCGTTTTCCTATTCCAACTGGATCTGTATCCAATTGGAAATACGTTTTCCACTAGAATACAGGAAGTAGGTTGTGTTTTCTCTTGTCCTATTCCAAGTTTGTACTACAATGTTTTGCAGATGCAGATATTGCAGGTGATTTCAATCACTAGAAGTCTACATTAGGTGGGTTGTTCACTTTTGAAGGGAAGTTGCGTCTTGGCAGTTCAAATTGCAGAAGTGCATCGCTTTGTCTACAATAGATGCGCAATATACTGCAATTGTATATCCGATTAATAGATAGTACGGTTGAAAAGATTTATGCAGGAGATTTGGCTTGCAACAGCATAAATATGTGGTTTTCAGCGATAGTTGCAGTGCTTTTGATTTGAGCAATATTTTTACATATAGTTCCACACCAAAACACATTGATATGAGATATGCTAGACTTAGAGAAACTATTACGAAGCATGAGTTGAAGATGTAGAAGATTCACGCTGACAATAATCCAACAAACTTTAGGTCTTTATGACTAATAGAGTTAGTGATTGGTTGGCATGTACTTCGTGTGAAGAGTCAAAACCTGACATACTCCTCTCATTTGGCTGGAGGGGAGGATGTCGGGAGCGGACCCAATTATTAGGTGTCCAATGAAGAGAGAAGGCCCAACCCACTTCTCGTATTATAGTGGGAAAATAATTCCCAATTGGATACATGTTCCAATTAGAATAGGAAAAGAAGTTAGGGATTTTTAATTAATTTAATCATGGTGAAACATTGTACCCTAAAGTCGTAAGAAACTTTCACAAAAAGTTTCTGCACGCTATTCAAGACGCAGAGTGAGGAAGAGAAAAATGAGGTATATGTTTGCTCGGTGATCAGGTATTGTTGGTGAGACGGATTTTACGATTTGTGCCCTAAAGGTAACTTTGTATTTTTCTCCGTAATCTCGTGTTTTGATCCTCAAAATTAGGATAGACTTGAGGAAGTTGTATTATGATGTAGATGTTGAATATTCTCTATATATTGCCTTGTGGACATAAGCAAGTTTACCGAACCACATTAGATCTTTGCGTTTGCTTTTGTGTGCTATTTTCATTAGTGTCATTATTTCGTTTGTTTGTGTTTATTTCAGATAAGTTTCATAGAATCCTTACAAATGATATCAGATAAGTTTCATAGAATCCTAACAAATGGTATCGGAGCTTACAATGATGAATTCAGAGTCGAGATTGCAAGATAGAGATGGAGATTATGCAAAATCGAAGATTGGCTATGAGGATCAAAATGAAGAAGATCAAATATGGAAATTTTGGTGGATCTAGCAGAGATTTGATGATGCTTGGGTTAGATTTGGATCTGCATGTGAGTTTAGATGACTGGTGATGAAATTTGATTTGCAATAAAGTTGTTCTAAGCGACCCGCCACCCAAATAATTAACGGAGGTAGAGTGCGATGGCGGCGGATGAACAAGTGAGGCTTTTATTTTAATGTGAGATCTCTTTCCTTAATCGCGTTTAGGAGAAGAAAATAAAATGACTGTTTTTTAGTGCCCTGGATTCGGTGATAGGCTGTGTTTTTGGTGTTTTTTTTGTTTGCCAAGTGGGATTTATTTAAATCTATAATGAAAGGCTCACATTGTTTTCTAAGTAGATTGGTAGATCCTAGATTTACTGAGACAATCCAGGAATTGAACCTTATGTTGTTTGATGTTCAAGACATGGTTGAAGTGGATTTGGCAGATTCCATTGTTTGAATTTAGTTTTTGATGATTGAACGTCAATCGGATAAGTAGAAGATTGATGGATGATGCTGATGGTTCACATGAGGTATGATTATACATCTCATGGTTAACGGACGGTGGTTACTTCTAAGCATGGTGTGCCGTGTGGCATAAATTATAGCGTCTTTGGAGTTGGCCATGGTGTTTGGATTGAATTGGAGCGTGGTGCTCGAAATGATCCAGAATTTTTTACCAAGCTGGAGCATGGTGTGGCCACTGTAGTCCAGGTTTGGCAGGTTGAGTGATAAAAAGTTCTTGTTTAGAAGAATGATGATTATATTCGTTTGTTCTCGAAATGTGGAGCATAGTGCGTGCGAAGTATTTGTTTAATAAATGAATAGCAAAAATGTCACAGAATCTCCTGGTTGTATGAAGCTAGGAACAACTACGAAAGGTGTATGGTGGGAGATGTGACCTATGGTTTCACGTGGAAAGTTGAGCTACATTCACATAGGTGCGGCTCAAACAGGAGCCAAGGTGAAGATTGTTAATATGTGTTTCGTATCTGTTTATCATTTAGTGGGATCTTATGTTTGGTGTTCTTCTGCGCTAAGTTCGTGCTTGAGTTTTTTGTCATACCACTACGTAAAAGTGCCGTTGTGAGAGTCTTGGATTAGGTGAGGGCTTTGCATAGGATATGAGATGGTGTCTACGTATATTCATGTGCGGTTGAGAGATTAGAGATTCCCACCCGCTATGTATGTTCATGTGAGGTTGAGAGATATAAGAGATGAGTGATTCTTCTTGTATATTGTCATTCATAGTGGATTTCTCGTATTTTTGTTTTGTGGATATAGTTTGAGCTTGGTATATTGAACCACGTGAATCGCATGTGTTCTTCTTCTTGCTTGCTATTATTACTATCTTATGAGCTTGTTTTTTGATCTTTGTGTTGCGGAGATGGGAATAGGGATCGTCTACCCCAACGGTTTCCTGCAAAGTACTATAGAAGTTCTTTTTTAGATTCTTATTAGCTAACTGAGATTTTTCTTCCTACTGATGTAGTCTTGTCAAATTGACTATTTAAACTATCCAGAATGATTATAATCCTTTAGGACGCTATCACTCACCCTGGAATGCTGCTTCTATGACAGCAAGCAATTGAAGGATTGGACAAGGCGAATTGGGAACGATCGACATCTGATATGCATCGAGGATCCATTTGAAACCTCCCATGACCTCGGCCGAGTTGTGGACAAGTACAGCATCAAAATTTTGAGGGAGGAATTCGAGAGGGCAGCAGATGTTCTCCAATATGATTCAAACCCCAGTGTAACTCTTTTTGAGCCTTATGTACCTAGGTCTCTCCAAAATGGACTTCAGTCTGATTGAGTTATAGTTGTAGGTTATAGTAATAGCTTGGTTGAGTGCTTGGTTTGCAATTCTCTCCTTGTAATGTTTTTCTATTTATCTAGCGTCCTTTGCTCACGAGAGGAGCAATTATCGAATTGCTCCTCTCAACTAATGTGCATAGTAATGTGATCCAGCGTTATGACTCTGAATTTCCTTAGCAAGTAAGGAAAGGTTCTGTAAGTTTATTATGTGGTGGTTATCGCTTTTCTATAGCTGGTCTTTGGTCCTTGGCAGTATTGTGAAAGCTCTTGGTGCTCACTATTGAAAAAATTATCGAGGCCATGCCATTTACTATTAGGGGCTGTTTGGTTGCTTTCCTTTATATTCCAAAAATGATTTTCCTTCATTTTTTTTGTGTTTCCTTCACTTTCATGGAAAGTGTTTCTATATTTGTTTTGTCAAAAAATATAAGGTGAAAGTACTTTTCACACTTTTCTTAGTTTGGTTGAACTTGAAAAAAAGAAGAAAACAATTGATGTGTGAATAGATTCCCTCACTTTCTAGTGTTTAGTTCAAATGATAAAAAAAATAAAAAATCATGATTATGGTCACCATGTTTTGCTTACGACCCATATAAGATAAATTTATTTCTAATATAAATTGAGAGGTGAACATATATTAACCGTCACATAAAAGTATTTAAAATTTTGAGGGATTAATTTGCAAATTTTTAAAAAGATTTGAGGTAGTGATTTGCAAAATATTTAAAGATTTGAGGAGCTAATTTCAAAATATGAATAGTATAGAGGAAAATTTAAAATATTCCCACATTTGAGGGACTAATTTTAAAATTGAGGAAATAATATTAATCCCGAACATAAAAGCTTTATTAAATTTAATTCATCTATAATTCGAAGAACTTGTAGTAGGTCCAAAACATAAGCAAGTAATAAAATTATTAAAAAATATAAATAGGACTTGAAGAAGCAATTGAAGCTCACAAAATAAAAAACTACAAATTTAATCCATCTATAAATTGAAAAAAAGTTTTGAAGCATGTCCACAATTTCCCCAATTTCTCGCACAAAATAAAAAAAATAAAAAAATAAAGATCGAAAAAATAGTGATCCAACAATTACTTAAATTAAGATATAAACAAATCCCCTCAATGTAATTAGGAATTTTTTTTTCTAGCCCCCAATTTCCTTACAACTATTCCACCCCCTCATAAGACTTTTTCAACGTTCTCAAAACCTCCAAAAGCAAACCTACAATTCCCTTACCCCCCAAAACACAAAACCCAAGAGTTTAAAACATGTGAAGACCATAATAACATTTCTCTCTCTTTTTTTCATGATGTTATCGGGATGATTTGAAATGGTTTTTTTGGGGAAAATGCTAGTTCCCTCCAAAATTTTTCAACGGCGTCGATATCGGCGGTGAAACTTTCCCAGCGTTCGTTCATGAGGCAAAAA